ATGAGTTTAAACCCATCTCCCAAGTATGCGTGGCCGTCATGTACGTGCCCGTGAAAATTTTTGGCAGGCAAGTTGCTAACTCAGAAACCAAAAAAGCTAGAACGCTGAAAAGGGATGTTTTCACAGTCGCGTGGCCAGCCTCATTTCATCTAGCTGGAAAACCTGCCAGACATATAAAAATCCTTATCAAAAATCAAAATACCCTACATATTCGTCCTCTACAAGATGCGCAGGCACTACGAAACAGCTCGAGCAGTAGCAAATTCCAAAAGCAAACCCCACTTACAGTGCCGCCAATGGCTCCCGCTTTCGAGGGATGCTTAAAAGTAAGCTGCTTGCGGTTTGAATTTTTGAAATACCAGTGAAATTTACCATGGAATTGAAAGAGTGAGTCTCGGAGGGTTTGGTTATCGCGGTGGTGAAATCAAGCCGACGACTTTTAGCACAAAAGCAACGCCCTTCCACTGCGACATCCCCACCAGCAAGAACTTTTGCAACATAAATAACTGATCAGCGCACCGACTGCCGGTGCGAAGATGCATTTTTTGCACAATTCCTCGCAGGTTTTTTTCTGCTAACGACACTGTTTTTTCTGGCAGGGTTTCCAGCTAGATGAATTGAGGCTGGCCACGCGACTGTGAAAACATTCCCTTTCAATTTTCCAGCTTTTTTGGTTTCCGAGCCAACAACTTGACTGCCAAAAATTTTCACGGGCCCATACCTGAGGGTCAAGCACACCTGGGAGATGGTGTCTGAACTCATTAAGACCTACATGAACGGAGAAGATCCGCACAAAATTCCAATCTTTTTGCTTTTCAGCTTCTCGAATTAGCATCTTACCTGCAAAAACTTTCACGGGCCTGTACGTGGGAACCATGCAAACCTGAAGGCTGGATTTGAAGTCGTTGGACTGTACGTGAAGGGAAGCACCCCTTAAAATTTCATCCTTCTAGCTTCTCTTAAACTTTCACATGCCCATATGGGGAAACAACACTGGCAACAGCGTCCATGTTGGGAATAAGGCCTGCACATGTGCAGGTTAAATTCCCAAAGTTTCAGTCTTTTAGCTTTTGTAGGTCTCGAGATGAAAAATCGGTACAGACGTACACAAACAGGCACACAAGCAAAGAGAGACACACACACACACACAGACAAACCCTCGTCAG